TCCTGCTGTTTTACACTTATTCCTTCAAATATATGAATTTACCCACAATCTCTCTGTATTTAACTTCTCATCTGCTGCTTTTACCCATGATTCTTCCAAGTATTTATTATACGGAACACATTTTGAGATCCCTAGCTATCCTTCTCTATATCAGCACTTCATTTTTTACAGGCTTTGCAGACAGATAATATTCAGCACTGATAAGTTTCATTATGAAAGAATGTAAAAACGTCCTCTTTAAATGTTTTCTTCTTTTTTTTCCCCTCCAAATTAACAGGCACCTTGGGTGGAAAGAGTACAAATAATGGTATTGGATATGAATTGAATATATATTTTTAGAAAATCATTATATAACTAGTGTGGTTCAAATACCTGCTCCAGTTAGGGTATAAGTGATTTGTTGATTTTATGCATGTTGGATACTTTGATGTTAAGGGAATTTTTAGGAAAGATTTGCTTTAAAGTTTCTAAAATTACTTTTACCCATTATTTCATAAACAAATGTATACATTTTCATGGTGTTTTAAAATTGTTTCTGATCCTTTAGCATCACCCTGTGATCCCACTTTTATCCTGGGCTGTGCTCTCTGCAATGTGATCTGCTCCATTATTTTCCAGAAACGTTTTGATTATAAAGACCAGACTTTTCTTAACTTAATGGAAAGACTGAATGAAATAACAAAGATTCTAAGCTCTCCATGGGTACAGGTAAGGCCAAGATCGTTTCTTCCTGAGAACTACTTTATGTCCTTTTCTCCAAGAAATCCTAAACGCTGTGTGCACAGAGCTGTGAAGTGAATGTATGAGCATCACGTTCCTTCCCAGAGCTTACTACCACGAAGTGCTCATCTGGGAAAGATGGCTGATCTCTTAATGATTGGCTCGAAAAGACATGCCAAGAATTCAATCACATTGATCCTGTCCAGTCGTTTTTCCACTAAATTCTAAAGCTCCGTTTTCTGTAAAGTACTTTAGTAACTTTCCAAAAGTATACCTAGAGTGCTAATGGACTTCTAAATTCTTCTGGAAAGGCTTCATTACTCACAAAACTTGTCATCCAGTCAACACTTAGAGACTTCTTTGGCACATTAGTTGGCAGTACTACAAGAATGTAGGAAGGAAGAGAATATCTCCTTCAAGAAGGGAGACTATGTGGGACCACAGATGCTCCTAGGGAACACTAACTAGGGTAGGAGTGTTAGATGATTCAGGTGGCATCCTAGCTAACAAGGTGAGTATTTTGAGGATGACAAAATGATCGGTTACTGCGGTGTACAAACCATAAACAAAAATCACGATTTTGGCTGTGCTGAGCTGACATGTTCTGTACTCTGCCTAAAAGGTAATGATGTGATCTTAGAGAAGTCACTTACCTGCTCTGGTGCCCAGTTGCTTTACATATAAAATGTTGAGTTATGTTTCATAGTATCTTCAGGACCCTCCCAGTTCTGAAAAACTCATTCAATGTCTGGGCAACTAGATAGGACTAGAAAAAGCAATGTTAGCTTTGTGCTCTATATCAGATGGCCCAACTTCCTTCACCTCTGCTGTCTCCTACAAAATGTGAATTATAGTATTATGTGCCACATCATATTTCAAGATTATAGGGAAGAACTGATGTAAAAATGAACAAATTGGTGAAAAGATGGTTTTCTATTATAAACATGATGTCTGAGTATAGGACATGATTATCATCTGTGCTCCCCTCGTCAGAATTTTCTCCCTCAAATATACTTATCAGTGTAGAAAGTATGTGTTTGTAAAATAAAAATTCCACTCAACACAGAGACCATTATTTATGAATATTTGTTAATATTTACAGTATAGTTTCTCGTCAGGGCTTGGCATATGGTATATGTCTTCATTAAGTTTTTTTTTTTTTTTACCTAATAAAATACCGTTTTCTCTTCTAGCTCTGCAATGCTTTCCCTGTTCTCCTTCATTATTTCCCAGGGAGGCATAGGAAAGCCTTGGAAAATCAGCTTTATTTAAAAACTTATGTTATAGAGCAAGCGAGGGAACATCAAGCATCCTTGGACATTAACAATCCTCGAGACTTTCTCGATTGTTTCCTCATCAAAATGGAGCAGGTAAAACGTTAACAAGAGCTCAATTACTTGATTGCTTGTGGATATTGTGGCTTATTGACAGAAGTGCCAGTGGTTTCCATTATTCCTCTGTTTAGCACTCACTCCTTCCAAGTCTGAGTACTCAGCACCACCATAGTTGAGAGGTCATCAAACTGGATTACAGAGATTGCTTCGCCCAGGGTATTGCCTGAAACTCCACCTCCTACAACACATGGTTTCACTCAACTCACAGCCAGTTGTGTCCTCAGGGAATCTTGTGCTCTTTGCTGAGCAGAGTCTACACTTACCTGGGTGGCAGCGTGGTTTTTTGAGGGAACTATAAGCACAGCATTTGTGGATTGCTTGCTGAATCTTAAGAGGTGGCCCCACAGGGGCACAGGCTGGGGCTAATTGACCTGCAGCTGAACCCTTCTCAGGACTGTGCCACTGGACACTTACTACACTGTCATGCTAATAAGACCGGGAAACTTAGGAGCTTTGCTTAGTACATGGAAACAGACACAGAAATGCAGCCAAAATGGGAAGATAAAGAGGGTGAAACCATATGAGGTTACAGAACAGAGTTCCAAATACTGGTTATAAAGATGCTCCATGAACTTAGGGGAAGTGTCGATGAATTCAGTGAGAGAACTTTAACGAAGAGATAAAAAACAGGAAAATGGAAGTGGAAATTATAAAAGGGAACCAGTCAGAAATGAAGAACACATGATCTGAGATGAAGAGTATATTAGGTGGAGCAAACACAGTGGATAAATCAGAGGACCAAGCCACTGATATAGAAGATGGAGGAGCCAAGGACACTCCATCAGAATGGGAAGCAAAAAGAAGCCAAGACTATAATAATAATTTAAGGTGCTTATAGGACACAATTAAATGTAAAAATATTTGTGTCATAGTGTTACTTGAAGGAAAATAAGACGTTGAAGAGCTATTTGAAGAAATAATGAGGGGAAAATTTTTAACCCGATGAAGAAAATAAACATACAATCCCAGGAAGCTCAGAGAGTCCCCAAAAATGTGAACCCAAAGAGGGCCACACCAAGACACATCAGAATTAAAATGCCAAAGGTTAAATGCCAGGAGAGAATCTTAAAAGCAGTAAGAGAAAAGCAGTTAGTTACCTACAGGGGAACGCCCATGAGATTGGCAGCTGATTTCTCAAAAGAAACAGTTCAGGACAGAAGGGCTTGGCACAAAAGGTCAATGTGATAAAAACCCAGGATCTACAACCAAGAAAACTTTAACCAGCAAAGCTATCATTTACAGTTGAAGGACAGATAAAGAGCTTCCCAGACAAAAATGAGCTAAAGGAATTTATCAACACCAAGCTTGTCCAACACAGGAAATGTTGGAGGGAATTCATTAAGAAGAAAAAAATGTGGGCATGTAATCAGATACATTTGGAGTGAGAGATGTCCCCAGATCTCGCCCCTTGAAACAACAATAACTGAACATCTAACCCTCAACAATAAACACTCAAACTGCATACCAGCACGTGTGAGCATGGGACTTCCGAATAAGAGCTACTACAGATCAGAACTCCGGAAGATGACCAGAATGCTGGGAGTAACTAAGAAACTTCCTCTTGCAGCTCGAGTTCTCTGCAGGTGAAGGAGAAGGGGAGAAGGTGTGGCTGGTACCCTGAACAGCCCTCCCTGGGAGAGCCGTGAGCTCCACGAGGCCAGAGGCAGTGTCCAGGCATTAGGGCAAAAGCAGAGAAGTGGGAATATTTGAAGTGGGGACAGAAGAGAAACAATGCAGCTGCGGTTGCAAAATCCATGGCTGAGCTCAGACCCCATCCCCTGACCTAGAGGGCCCCTCCTCCCATACCTTCCAAGACTGGACACCACGGAGCCCGAGTGGAATCTGAACAAACGATACTGAATCTGTCACTAACACTGATAGAGATTGAGAGTGAGAGTAGGAAGCATGATTGGATATCTATAAGAAAAAAAAAGACATTATTCAGAGTTTATATGAAGCAGGGATCCAAGAGGGTTAGATGCCACCTAATGGAAACCAAAAGAAAAATGCCTTCTTTGCAATGGGCTAAAGAGACATTTATATAATAAATCTTTCTGGGAAAAAAAGCAGAATACACTTCCATTAATGCCCAGGCGAAGAAATAATCCATTAAACACCATAAACATTCAAGATAACAAAGCATCTCAGAAAGAAAGAGAAAAATCTCCAGAAAATAAGCTTACAGACATAGAAATATGAGACTTGTATGACAGAGAATTCAGGAAGGAACTTCTGAAAATTCAGTGAGTTCCAAAACAAGGCATATCAACAATTTCAGGAATTGAAAAAACAACTAGATATGCAGATCAAGAAGATTGAAACCCTCCAAAAGAACAAACTAGATCATCTGGAGATAAAGAACACACTGCAAGAGATGAAAAATGAAATAGCAAGCTTGGAAAATAGAGTCAAATGGAGTAAAGAATCAGTGCTATCGAATACAGCAATCTAGAAATAAATCAGAAGGAAGAACAGAGAAACCAAAGAATGAAAAATAATGAAAGAGAAATACAAGAACTAGCTGAGACCATCAGGAGAGGAAATGTAAAAATAATGCGCATTTTCGAAGGGGAGGCAAAGGAGCAGGGATTAGAAACCATTTTCAGACAAATAGTTGATGAGAATTTCCCAAATCTAAGGAATGAACTGGAGCTTGGAATTCAAGAAGTCAACAGAACACCCAATTATCTCAACTCAAAAAAGGCCTTCTCCAAGACATATTGTACTAAAATTATCAAAAATCAATGACAAAGAAAGAATTTTCAGGGTCGCCAGGGAAAAGAAGACGGTAACCTACAGAGGAAAACCCATTAGATTATCGTCGAACTTCTAAGCACAAACCTTACAAGCCAGAAAGGAGTGGTATCAAATATTCAAACTATTAAACAAAAGGAACTATCAGCCTAGAATAATGTATCCAGCTAAGCTCTCATTTAGATATGAAGGAGAAATAAAGACCTGTCCAGACATACAAAAATTGAGGGAGTTCTCCACTAAGAGGCCTGCACTACAGGAAATACTGAAAGAGATTAGCTCACGTAAAACAAAATGTCAACAAAATACATAACTAGGAGCAAGGCAGCTAGTAGGCAGACAGAAGCACAGGAGTGCAACTCTTACTAAGAACATGGCATTATAAGCTTAAACAATATGAAGAGAATTGCTATAGCAAGATAGTAATGAAGGTTCAGCATACATAGGGATAAAGTGAGACAACAATGACAAAAAGGGGAGGATTCAAAGATCCAAATTCGCAAAGGGTACTGGAGATGAGGCATGTGCAGAAGAAAATGGATGACTGTATATATATAAAACTATCTTTTACATATTCGTAATGGTAACCATATGCCAAAGATTCAGAACTGAAGTATATACCATAAAACAAAAAGAGCCAGAGGGAGAGACCACAAAACCCAATTGAGAATAAAGAAAACAGAAACACAAGGACAAGGAAGCAATGGAAACACCGAGCTGCCAGAAAGCAGAAGATAAAATGGCTATAAGAAGACTTCATATTTCAATAATTACCCTAAATGTAAATGGAGTGAACTCACCAATAAAAAGGCACAGAGTTGCAGATTGGATCAAAAAACAAAACCCAACCATATGCTGCCTCCAGGAGACATCTCAGTTCCAAAGGCAAATATAGGGTCAAAGCGAAAGGGTGGAAAAGGATATTTCAAGCAAATGGCATTGAGAGAAAAGTGGGAGTAGTGGTACTAATATCAGACGAAATACACTTCAAAATATAAAAGGTAAAGAAAGATACCGAGGGACACTTCATAATGATAAAGGGAATCATGCACCAAGAAGACATAACAGGTATTCATATCTATGTTCCCCAAAATATATAAAGCAATTAATTATTAACTAACAGAAGTGAAGAGAGAAACAGACCAAAACACTATCGTAGTAGGGGACCTAAATACCCCACTGTCGGATATGGACAGATCATCCAAACAGAAGATCAATAAGGAAATAACATCCTTAAATGACACATTAGACCAACTGGGCATAACTGACATTTACAGAGCCTTTCCTCCCCAAACAGCTGCTTATACATTCTTCTCTGGTGCACATGGAACATTCTCAAGAATCGACCACATACTGGGACACAGAGATAGCCTCAACAAATAGAAGAGGGTTGAAATCATACCAACCATATTCTCTGATCATAATGCTTTGAAGCTGGAGATCAACTGTAAAAAGAAATCAGAAAGAATCACAAATACATGGAGATTAAGAAGAAAAAATGTATCAAAAACACGAATAAAGAATGGTAACAACTACAATCCTGTCAACAAGTACCTCGATGGAAAGGAATTAACTGCTCCCAAAAAAAGACAGATTGGGTGGAATGGATAAGGAAAAAAGCCCCCTACATATGCTGCCTACGAGAGACTCACTTGGGATTGATGGACACACCGAGACTAATAGAAAGGGGATGGAAAGTTATTGCCTTGATAGACCTAGAGGGTATGGTGCTCAATGAAATAAGTCAGATAGAGAAAGACAAATATCGCATGACTTCACATACATGTGGAATCTAAAGAACAAAATAAACAGCAATGGAAATAAACTCATAGATACTGAGATTATTTTGAGGGCTACTAGATGGGAAGGGAGGTTGGAGGGACAATGAAAAAGGACAAAGGGATTAAGAGGTTCAAATGAATAGTCCCAAAATAGACATGGAGATATAAATTGTAGCAAAAGGAAAATAGTTAATAATGTTGTAATAAATACGTAAGGAGGAAAAGGGGTACTAGATTTAGTGGGGTGATCACTTTGTGAGTTATATAGATCTCTGATCACTAGGCTGTACAACTGAAACTGGTATATTTTTGTATGCCAACTATAATTGAGGAAAAACCTCATTAAATTGTACAATGTAAATACAAGCAACTAATTGTCCATTATATTTCAATAAGGCCGGAGGGTGGGGGAGAACCCTTAACTGAGTGTAAAATAAAATCAATTGGCGAAGGTATGGAGTTGGAAGTTGGTGTCTGTAAGCACGACTCCTGCACCATTTGTTGAAAAGACTACTTTTTCCCACGTGAATTACCTTGACACCCTCGTCGAAAATCACTTGACTGCAAGTGTGAGGGCGTATTTCTTTGATCTCAATTCTTTGTCAGTAACGTATATGTCGGTCTTTATGCCGGTAGCACACCACAGGGCCGTCTTAATTACCAGCATTTTGTAAGTTTTGAAGTCAAGCGGCGTGAGTCCTCCAAGACTGTTTTTGATTTTCAAGATTGTATTGGCTATTTTAGGAACCTTGAATTTCCATATGATTTTAAGGATAAACTGGTCAGTTTCTGCAAAGCAGACAGTGAGGATTGCATTAGATGTCTGGATCAATTCATGGAGTAATGCCAATTTAAAAATTGAGATGAAATTAATATACCATACATTTATCACTTTAAAGTATATAATTTAGTGGAATTTAGTGCATTCACACTACTGTGCAACCACTCGCTCTCTCTAACTTCAAAACTTTTCTGTCACTGTGCTAACACATACCACATCCATTAAATGCTCACCGCTCATTCTTCCTACCCCATCGTGTGGTAACGTGTAAAAAGCTCTATGTCTCTATGTACTGGCCTATTATGGAAGTATCAGATAAAGGAGCCATAGCATTATGACTTTCTGTTTCTGGCTTCTTTCACATAGCATGATATTTTGGAGGCTCATCTAAGTTGTACTATATATCAATGTTTTGTTATGATTTATGGCTGAATAATATTCTGCTTTATGTATGTTCCATGATTTGATTATCCATTATTCGTTGAGACATTTGTGTCATGTCTACCTTTGGCAGTTATAAATAGTGCTGCTATAAACATTGTGTACAAGTTTCTTTATGGACATGTTTCTTTTTTGATGGGTATATTCCTACGAGGGAACTTGATGAGACATATGGTAATTTTATGTCTACTATTTGAGGAACAGCCAGACTTTTCCAGAGTGACTGCAACATTTACATTCCCACCAGAAATGCACAAAGGTTCCTCTTTGCCCACATGGTTGAAAAATAATTGACATGTAAAAATTGTGTATGTTTAAAGTGTACGTACTGTTGAATTGTACACCAAAATCTTACTGGATTTTGTTAACCAATGTCACCATGATAGATAGATAGATAGATAGATAGATAGATAGATAGATAAAGTATACAGCATGTTTTTTTTCTACATGTATACTGGAGGTGATGCTCAGCAGTTGGGCAAGGCTGCTACTTCCTTCCCTGCCAGTGAGAGCTACAGAGTGCCCTCTGTCTGAGGCTTCCGAAGATTCCCAGATAGCCAGGGCTTTGAACTTTTCTCCCTGCCTGGGTGGGCCATGCGCTGTGATCAGCAGCTGCCTGGTGTGTAGTCCATTCTTATCCACAGAGAATATATTCCAAGGCCCCCAGTGGATGTCTGAAACTACAGATAGTACTGAACCTTATATATACCATTTTTCCTATACCTTCATACTTATGATAAATTGTAATTTATAAATTAGGCACATTAAGAGATTAAGAACAATTATTAATAGGAAAATAGGACAATTATAACATCTTTCACGATTAGGCCCAAATTTACCTATTCCCACTAATTAAGATTGTATATGTCTACAAATAAAAGAAAACCTATTAAAAATGGCTTTAACAAATAGTGGGTTTATTTAGCTCATGTAAAAGGAGCCTTGTGATGTGTCAGTTTAGGGAGAGTACAGAGGCCCTGAAGATTCAGAGAGTCAAATACTTTCCTTTTTTTTTTCATGCATATTTAGTATATGGGCCTCATACTTCATGATTAAATCTCTTGACCCAGAATGGTGTCCACTCTACCTTCTCCTTCACATCTTTCTTTTAAGTAAAGAGGAAGAAAGAGAGGAAGTGGCTCCAATAGGTTTCTGCTTATATCTCACTGGCAAAAACACTACTGCATGGCTACCTCATGCAAAGAGGCGGATGAATGTAATTTCAAGCAAGTGAGGGATAAGGCAATAGGAAATGATGTTTCAGTCAACTAACTTATAGTTTCTTACCATAGTACATAGTACTTTTTTCTAAAATTGTACCTTACAGGTTGTGTGTTGACTTACCCTTATAATAATGAGTTATTTTGTACTAATTGTAATTCTGGCAAATTAATTTGTCAAATAATTTCATCAAATTTTTCCTAGGAAAAGGACAATCCACATTTGGACTTTACTTTCGAAAACTTGGCATTCACTGTATATGATATCTTTATAGCTGGGTCAGAGACCACAAGCAGCACCCTGAGACATGCTGTCCTCCTGCTGCTGAAGCACCCAGAGGTCACAGGTATGCTTAACAGGGCGGGCGGGCTGAATTTCAGAAAAGATGCTGAGGAGACACTGCTAGTGAATTCCATCTTGTTTCTCTTAGTGAAGCTTCATTATCGAAATTTTTGTTTGACCTGCTTAATTTTCCAAATGTAAAGAAGGGTTAATAATGGGACATCTTTAGGTAATACAGGCTGATACCTGAGAGGAGTGAAGAGACTGTGGGAAGTAGCAAAAGAAAAAAGGGAGAACAGTGTCTCTGTTTTGCGGGAGGATATCTGTGTCAGGCACAGCTGGCATGTACTGGCCTGGGACTGGATATTGCTTTTATTACAAAATGCGACTCACTTTGAACAGCAGTTGCATTTTCCAGACATATCTCCTCATTCTGAACATGCAGGGTTCTAACGGAAACTCCCTTATTGAAGCATAAGTGGAAACCCTAGAGTTAGCGAGGCTGCTTGAGATAATTTCCAAGTCTACGAAATGTTACAAAAACTAAATTCACAACCAAATTCTAGATATTCGGGCTTAAGGTGTTGCATAAAGGAATTTTGTTGTTTCAGGTGTCTGTTTACCCAAAGTTGTTGTTTGTCACAATGAGAATTTCCGGGAAAGGTGTCAATAATTTTATCTTTTATAAAGTGCTTAATGTCAGAAATTTCCCTTTAGAGAGTTACAGTTGTTCATCGGAGCTTGGAATTATACATCATGTATGTCAGCATCCCACTAATGTCTTACACATAAGAATTCCCCTTTTAAAGCCGGATAGGAGGAGGTCAGGGCACAGCGGACAAATCTTCAAAAATTTCTGAAACAAACAGAGATGATTGGGGGGAGGGATGAACTCAGCAGAGAGGAAGAAATTGTAAACTCAGTGTCAGAAGAGGAAGTTACATGTTGAGGAAAAGTTCTTTGTGCTCATACATCCCTATAAGTTTTTGAGTTTAGAACTATCAAATACAAAGAAGGTAAACAGAGAAACAGGCTGAAAAAAGGGAGCTCTCCCTGCTCAGATCCCTTTGACAACTCCTTTTTATCAGCTAACTTTTTTCCCCCACAGGAAGAGGGAGGTTTACTCTCTAGAGAATTTGAACCTAAGAGGCCCCACCCTCAGGGACACTAGGCAGTGACAGGGAACGAGTGAGCTGTAGGGCTGAAACGAAAGGCGAAGTAGGCATCTATTTTTCGAATTCAGAATCTCTTAGTTCCTTTCTCTGTCCGGCTTCCTGAAACTCAGCAGCCAGATACAGGAAACTCCAGAGAGTTAACAGCTCTGGAGGAAAGACTCTGCCTTTTGCCAGGTAGATAGGATATTCTCTTGACGTTTATATGAGATGAATGAAATAAAAACATCCACCCTCAGACACAAGGTCACGGGATTTCAGAACACCAGGATTAAAAAGAAAATCGCAAAGACTTTAGGAGAGCTATGTCATGCCATGTACAAGGGTTAGAATTCAGAACGCCATCAGACTTCTCAAGAGCGGCATTCCCATTGTGTGTCAATGAAAAGAGTGTTTGTTGACAAAAATTGTACCCCCTCTTTTCCCTTTCTCATCCAAATGTCTGAAGTCATGTCAGAACAAGTCATGGGCTCGAGGAATCTGGGAGCTTTCTGGAGAATGAAAGTGTAGGGGTGGTTGCTAGATACCAGGACTAGGAAATATCCACTACCAGGTGACTGACTAGGTGGATAAGGCAGGTGTGAGGGGAGGCACCGGGAATGAAAGAGAAGTGATTGGTTACCAGAGGTCTCCTAACTATAGGGAAGTTATTCTTAGGAGGTTCAAATGTCTACTTCAGTATTTGGAAACATTTCTAAATGAAACTGTAGCAAATTATGAATTGAATGAAAGAGACATGGTTCAGCCCAAGAAAAAACAAAAATGAAACGTGATCATCGTTGTCCTACCAGGGAGCATTGTTTACGCAGTCAGAATGACGTTAACATGAATATTCTAAGAGCCAGAAGTTGGGACCCAACTATATTGGGGAAAAGGGCATTATGGGAATTGTTTGTCTGAGTATATTCTGTGTAAGGAAGATATGGGGAAATAAATTCTCACCTACCATACCAGTAAATCAGATATTGTCTACAATTAGGTAACTAAGAATTAGAAACAGAGTCATTGTTTAGCAATAGATCATAAAATGCCAAAGAATCTACTAGAAGTTTCAAAGTAGTAACATTGGAAAGTTGGAAGATAAAGAGAATACCATTGCAAATTGCATACACACAGTACACAAGTACACAATACACATATATTATAATTTAATTTTTCAACAAACATATTATGTCGATATAAAATTAACATTTAACTCTTTTGTGAAGGCCTGTAATTTCTTGACAACGAAGTTCTGTTTATTTTTTGAAACATTCCATCAGTTCTCTTTGTATTATCATGTATGCTGATATTCAGGTGCGTGTTGATGTATCTTAAGCATAACTTGTAGCAGTTATCTTTACCTATTATGGCGATTATTTCCCTGTGTCTAGGTGTATTTCTGGGCATATACTTGATGTTTATAATGATGTTGGGATACGTTCATAGTGCTCCATGCATCCCTGAATTGGTATGTAAATGTGGAGTGTGTTTTTCCATTTTTCCGTCACTGTTACTTGTGCCTTCTCAGCTAAAGTCCAGGAAGAGATTGACCGCGTGATTGGCAGACACCGGAGCCCCTGCATGCAGGACAGGAGCCACATGCCCTACACGGATGCTGTGGTTCACGAGATCCAGCGATACATCGACCTCCTCCCCATCAATCTGCCTCACGCAGTGACCTGCGATGTGAACTTCAGAAACTACCTCATCCCCAAGGTAACATTTGCTTCTCTATACTGACCTCAGTGGTCTGGAAGTTCCCATTTTCATGGCATTGGTCCAATTCCTTCTGAAGAAAATATGAGACAAGGACAAAAATCATATGCGTGGCAGTTTGATGGACTGTGTTGTTTTCAATTTAGACTATAAAGATTTATAATCTTTCCATTAAAGAATATGGTAAAGGCTCCCAGGCTTTTTTATAATTTTCTCAGTAATGTTCTTGCCCCAGGGCTTTTGCTTGTGAATCTTTTGTTTATTTTTTACTAGGTACATATTATTTTAGTTTTGAATTTTTTAAAATCCCTTTTCCATGTTTTTACTGTGGTACATGCAAATATAATTGATTTTACCATTTTAGTGACTCCTATGTAGCAAACTTTTCAAATTTAAAATTATGCTAATAAGTAAAGGATCTAAATACCCCCACTATCAGATATAGACCGATCATCCAAACAGAAAATCAATAAGAAAATAACATCCTTAACTGACACATTAGACCACCTGGGCATAATCGACATTTACAGAGCCTTCCATCCCAAAGCAGTTGCTTATACATTCTACTCTACTGCACATGGAACATTCTCAAGAATCGACCACATCCTGGGACACAGAGAGAGCCTCAACAAATAGAAGAGGGTTGAAATCATACCAACCATATTCTCTGATCATAATGCTTTGAAACTAGAGATCAACTGCAGAAAGAAAGCAGGAAGATCCACAAATACATGGAGATTAAACAACATGCAAAAACTGGGTCAGAGAAGAAATAAAAAGAGAGATCAAGAGATACATGGAAAACAAATGATAATGATAGTACAACATATCAAAACTTGTGG